GTAGAAGGAAAGAATTGACTTCTGCAAGACTTTCTCTGACCTAGAGTCTGTGGTGCCCACATAAATAAATAAATGCTTAATTTTTTTAAAGGCATAAAGAGATCAAGGAAGATGTCTAATGTTAACCTCTGACCTCCGTGTGCATATATGAACACGCCATAGGAACGCACACATACACCAAATACACACACACATACACACACATACAGAGTAGGGGGCAGGGAGGGAGACAGAGGCAGATAGAGAGACAGACACAAAGAGAGAGAGACACAAAGAGAGAGACAAAGGGAGAGAGACACACACAGAGACACAGAGAAAAAGAGAGACACACAGACACACAAAGAGAGACACAAAGAGAGAGAGGGACACAAAGAGAGAGAGACACAAAGAGAGAGAGACACAAAGAGAGAGAGACACAAAGCGAGAGAGACACAAAAAGAGAGAGAGACACACACACAGAGACACACAAAGAGAGAGACACACAAAGAGAGACACACACAGAGACACACACAAAGAGAGAGACACACACAAAGAGAGACACAGAGACAGACACACACAGAGACACAGAGAGAGACACAGAGACACAGAGACACACACACACACAGACACACACAGAGACCACCATTACCATCACCACCACCAGCAGCAGCTGCTACAATAGCTACAAAACAGAAGAAAAAAAAAAGGAAGAGACACTTCCCTGACTACCACCTCACTGGCTTCTCCTCAGAGGTCATCTACCCCTCATTCTGACCCTCTACCCTTTTTGCATTCCAAAGTCAGAGCTCCTTTGTTTTATTTTCACTTAACATAATTTGAGCCATGACAGTTACCTCTAATAGAGTACCTCGTGTCATCCTGGCCTTCACAGAACAACTGTGGTCTGTCCTGTAGGCTCAGCAGGAGCCCAGTCACTCATGTGATGGTCCGTCACTTTAGAACTCTCCCTTTGCTTAACTGCACAGTGATCGCTTTTATTTACTTAGTTATCTTTTATTTCATGTGCATGGGTGTTTGCCTACATCGTGCCCAGTGCTTAGGAAGCCAAAGAAAGCGTCAGTCTCTTGGAGCTGGAGTTAGAGAAGGTTATCAGCATTTGTAGGCCAGGAACTGAACCTAGGTCTTCTGCCAAGTACAGCACGCGCTTTTAACTGATGAGCTGTTTCTTCAGCCACTTATATATTTATGGATTTGTTTATCTCCTTACTTATTTTTCCCTGAGACAAGGTTTCACTATATAATTACATATAGTCTTAGATGATTTGAAACTTTTTGCAAGGGGGAATGGAGGTCTCTCTATGTAGTCCTAACTGCCCTAGCATCTGCTATGTAGACCAGGCTGGCCTGGAACTCACAGAGATAAGCCTGCCCCTGCCTTGAGAGTGCTGAGATTAAAGGTGTGCCCCACCACACCCACCTGGTTTAAAACATTCTCTGAGCACACTAGGCTGACCTTGAACTTCTAGTGATCCTGCTTCTGCTCCTCGCACTCTGGAAGTACAGGTGTGCACCCTCATACCCAGCATCTGTATACCTATGCAAGAACTTTATGTGTACTTATATTTTCCTATTAAGGGATAATAGGTTTTAAATGAATTTTTTTTTTATTTTTTATTTTATGTGTATTTATGTGAGTGCCTGCCTTACATAATGTATATGTACTAGGTGCTTTTGGAAACCTGAAGAGAGAATCAGATTCCCTGGGTCTGGAATTATAAGGGATTATAATCTGCAACATGGGTGCTGGGAATCAAACCCAGTTTTTCTGTAAGAGCAGCAGCTGTTCTGGACCACTGAGCTATCTCTCCAACCCCTTGTGTTAGACTTCACTAGGCTACTCATAGATTAAAACTCAGAGGTGTAAGATAGCTTGGTGACAGTTGTAGAGGCGGGAAACTCCTAACTAGACAGTCACGACATAAAAGCATGTGGTGTTTGCTTATCTATGCCTTGAATTCTTGTGTTTATTTAACAGACTGTATTGAGCATTTAGTCTGTGCCATGTTAGATGCCATTTAAAGTTCTTGGTCTCATGAAGTTTGTGTGTAGGCAAAGACAGACACTAAGACAAAGTGCTTGAGACTAGAATGTCTTGAATCCTCACTCATCTTCGTTAGATTTTGGAATATTTGCAGAAAAAGATATCTTAGGGATAAAGCCCAGATCTTTTTTTTGTTGTTGTTTTTGTTGTTGTTGTTGTTGTTTTTTTTTTCGAGACAGGGTTTCTCTGTATAGCCCTGGCTGTCCTGGAACTCACTCTGTAGACCAGGCTAGCCTCGAACTCTCAAACTCAGAAATCCACCTGCCTCTGCCTCCCAAGTGCTGGGATTAAAGGCGTGTGCCACCACCGCCCGGCTTCTATTCTTTTTTTTTTTTTTAAAGATTTATTTATTTATTTTATTTATGAGTACACTGTAGCTGTCTTCAGACACACCAGAAGAGGGCATCGAATCTCGTTACGGATGGTTGTGAGCCACCATGTGGTTGCTGGGATTTGAACTCAGGACCTCTGGAAGAGCAGTCAGTGCTCTTAACCGCTGAGCCATCTCTCCAGCCCCCCGGCTTCTATTCTTATATCCACAGAAATTAGCAAAAGATAGACAGATACTCACCTTCTGGTGAAATAAACAATGGAGGAAATACATGCATTTATCTGTCAATTCATTCCAATAAATAGCTAATCAGAGCTTTCCACAAGCAGATGCCATGGTTACCATGGTATATAAGAAAGACCCTGCCTACCTCACAAAGTAGTTTCTGGTAACTATATTAAAGAAGCCTTGCTAAGTGTAGTGACTCACACCTTTAGTCTCAGCACTTGGAAGACAGATCCCCCCCCCCTCCCTGGGAATTTGTGGCCAACCAGGTCTATATAGCAAGTTTCAAACCAGCCAGGGCTACATAGTGAGACCCTGTCTTAAACAAATCAAAACAAAACTAGGAGATGGTACGCCTCCTTTAATCCCAGCACTTGAGAGTCAAAAGCAGGTGAATCTCTTGAGTTTGAGGTCAGCCTGATCTATAGATCTAGTTCTAGGACAGCCGGAGATACACAGAAAAAAAATCTCCAAAAACTAAAAGAAAACAAACAAAGTATTTCTGTAATACTTGACTCCCTCCTCAGAGACATCTTCCCAGACCATCCAGTCTCTAAAGTAGCTTGCCAACATCACATGCTCCTCATTCTATCTTCATTTCAAAACGTTTACTATCCCTAAAAATACACTGTCCAAACAAGTCCTGAGCATCCAGGAGCAGCCATGATCCAAAAACTCAGAACCTGAGGCTCTGCAGGTGTGGTGACACAAGACTCTACCATCAACATCTTCGAGTATGAGTCAGGAGGACTGAGAGTCTGGGAGTAATGTGAGCTGCAGTAGGATCCTGTCTCAGAAACCTATATATGCATAAAAATATTACTCAGGCTATATACAGTTGTGTGTGTGTGTGTGTGTGTGTGTGTGTGTGTGTGTGTGTAAAACTGGAAACTTCAGTCTGGTGATATAGTTCTGTCTCACATGGATGAGGCTATTAAATTAGAACTTTATACAAATGGGCGTAGTGGCCAGCGTAGGGTATATGAAAAAATTTTTTTAAATATATAGAAAATGTATGTGAACTTCTCATTAAGATCTAGGCTTTAGGGCAGTGGTGGCGCACACCTTTAATCCCAGCACTTGGGAGGCAGAGGCAGGTGGATTTCTGAGTTCGAGGCTAGCCTGGTCTACAGAGTGAGTTCTAGGACAGCCAGGGCTACACAGAGAAACCCTGTCTCGAAAAACCAAAGGGGAAAAAAAAAAGAATAGAAAAAAATGGCTCCTGGCGCTTAGGGAGTAAGGAAACACTGCTACGATCCCACATATTTAGTCCCATCAGATAACATGACTTTCAAATGATCAGTGAAGCCTTCATTTGGATGAAAAGTCAGTGGTTATCCTTCATTATCGAAGCCTAAACTCTTAACTAGCATTTACATAGTAGCAAACACATTGTTTAACATGAGTACACACATGCACAGATGCATTCTCTTTGTGTTTTTTACCGTGAGATGCCCTGCAAGGAACCATGAGCCTAAATATATCATTCTTCTCCTCTTCCTCCTCCTTTTGCACCCAAAGCACAAACTAAGTTGTTGGAGTGCCACCAGAACAAAATTAGAGGGGATGGTCACATTTTGTTTTATCAAAGCTTTGCTAAGATTTGCTCATCTTTGTTGTTGTTGTTGTTTTGTTGTTGTTGTTTTTTGTTTTTTGAGACAAGGTTTCTCTGTGTAGCCATGCCTGTCCTGGAACTCACTCTGTAAACCAGGCTGGCCTTGAACTCAGAAATCCGCCTGCTTCTGCATCTGAAGCGCTGGGATTAAAGGCGTGTGCCACCACTGCCCGGCAAGATTTGCTCATCTTTCCAGAAAAATCTTATCACCTAAGAGATCACCACCATTTCTAATGACCTCCACAATCCAACCTCAAGGTTATATGCTCTTAAAACTTCCGTATGTTTTACGTATTCAGTTCAACCACGTATTGGGCCACCTATTCACTGTACTTTAGCATCTCTTTGTGTAGCTGTAGGCATTTCATGGATGTTTTTTTGTTTTGTTTTGCTTTTTGTTTGTTCGAGACAGGGTTTCTCTGTGTAGCCCTGGCTGTCCTGGAACTCACTCTGTAGACCAAGCTGGCCTCGAACTCAGAAATTTACCTGTCTCTGCCTCCCAAATGCTGGGATTAAAGGCGTGCGCCACCACTGCCCGGCATCGTGGATGTTTTAATCATTATACCTATGTGTGGTTGTTGGGGAGGATATGGCCTCAATCCATACATTGCGGAAAGAGAAATCATACAGGTGTGAGCGGCCGGTCCTCCGAACACAAGGGGTCGCTGTGACACCTTGCGGCCGCTCCAGGTCAATCTCGCGTGGCTGCCCCGCCTTGGGCCCCCGGGCAGAGTGGGCGGGCACGACTGCGCCCAGGTCGCGAGGCGCCCTTCGACCAGCAGCGCCCGGGGCGGGAGGGTATAAATGGAGCGGTGGCTGCCCCAGCCGCCTCTCTCCGCCCCGGGTCGCAGCCGTCAGTGTTGCGCTTGGGCTCAGCAAGCCTGAAGCAAAAAAGAGAAAAAGCTTAAAAAAATATAAAAAAGCCTCAAAAACCTTAAAAAAAAAGAAAAGAAGAGGGAAACAAGAAAGAACAAGAAGAAAAAGAGAACGAGACAGCGACTTGTGTTGGGAGCCCGCGGGGAAGTGACTTTCACAGCTTCCGGCCTGCCTGTCCGTCGGTGTCTGTCTGTCCGTCCGGTGGTGAGCCGTCCCCCCAGGCCCGGCCCGCCCCTGCACGCCTCTGCGCCGCGTGGCAGCCCCGCGCCCCGGCTGGCCGCACCACGTGTCCGCGCTGCCCTTCGCCGGCACCCGCAAAGATTTGGTTTCCCCCTTCCCGGGCCGCTGTAATTGTAAACCGCCGGGAGCCCGGGGCCTATATTTATCGCTAAACGCGTGTCCCCAAGGCCTCTGTGAGCGCAGCATCTGGCTGCCTCTTGAAAAAATTTTTGCCCCCTTTGCAAGGGGATTCCCTGCTTCAATTTTTATTTTTTAAGCTCCAAGCCAGGACAGCTGGAGGGTACAAACTCCAGGAGAGGGCCATATTGTTTTTGAGAGCCTTTTGTCTTGGGGCTTTTGCGGTCCTGTGCAAGTCGTCCCGCCTCGGAGCCTCCCTGCTCCAGCCTCTCCCGGCATCGCTGGTGCCACCTGTGCGCTGCGGCGCGTGCCACAGCTCCTCGGAGCCCCTTTTGTCCTGCAGTAGGCCTTGTAAGAAGTCCTGGCGGGGCTCGGGGTAGTTGGGGGTGGGGAGATGAACGCTGCAGCCAGCAGCTACCCCATGGCCTCCTTATACGTGGGCGATCTTCACTCGGACATCACCGAAGCCATGCTGTATGAAAAGTTCAGCCCTGCGGGGCCTGTGCTGTCCATCCGGGTCTGCCGCGATATGATCACCCGCAGCTCTCTGGGTTATGCCTACGTCAACTTCCAGCAGCCAGCTGACGCTGAGAGAGCCTTGGACACCATGAACTTTGATGTGATTAAGGGAAAGCCAATCCGTATCATGTGGTCTCAGAGGGATCCCTCTTTGAGAAAGTCTGGTGTGGGAAATGTCTTCATCAAGAACCTGGACAAATCTATAGACAACAAGGCACTGTATGACACTTTCTCTGCCTTTGGAAACATCCTGTCCTGTAAGGTGGTCTGTGACGAGAACGGCTCTAAGGGCTATGCTTTTGTCCACTTCGAGACCCAAGAGGCCGCCGACAAGGCCATCGAGAAGATGAATGGCATGCTCCTCAATGACCGCAAAGTGTTCGTGGGCAGATTCAAGTCTCGCAAAGAGCGGGAAGCCGAGCTTGGAGCCAAGGCCAAGGAATTCACCAATGTTTATATCAAAAACTTTGGAGAAGAGGTGGATGATGAGAATCTCAAAGAACTCTTCAGCCAGTTTGGTAAGACCCTAAGTGTCAAGGTGATGAGAGACTCCAGTGGGAAGTCCAAAGGCTTTGGCTTTGTAAGTTACGAGAAACACGAGGATGCCAATAAGGCTGTGGAAGAAATGAATGGAAAAGAAATGAGCGGGAAAGCCATATTCGTAGGCCGTGCACAGAAAAAAGTAGAACGTCAGGCTGAATTAAAACGGAAATTTGAGCAGCTGAAGCAGGAGAGGATTAGTCGGTACCAGGTAAGGTGGGCTGCCTTCTAGAGGGTGTCGATGTGGAATGTTTTCCAAGTGCCTGTGGTGTTGTAGATTTCTGTGGGGGCTGGGTACCTGTATTTGTTCCCCTGCAAAGGTAAGGTTTAAAGGTTGTCACCAAATAATTGCAGAGCATGCCTCTGTGTTCTGAGTGTCCCCTTTCTGCTCTTTGCTGTGTGGGTTCATTTAAATTGATGCCCCTTTTGGAGTAGCAGCCAGAAGAACCCTGTGGGTGAGCACTTAAGGAAAAGGCAGCTGTGTCTGTATCTCTGCTTTAGGGCAGGAGTCGCTCGCCTTGGGTTCATATCAGAATCCTGCAGAGAGGTTTTGTTCTGTTCTGAGGCCGAGTTTTACTATTAACTCAGGGTGGCCTGAAGGAAGTCACTTAGGAAGGCCTAAGGAAGTACCTTAGGCTGACCTAGAACTCTCAGCACCCTTCCTTCCTCAACAGGTGCAGGGCCCCAACTCTGGAGCTTTTTTGTTTTTAAGTTAGGGTCTTGCTCTGAGGCCTGGTCTCAAAAAACACTCAATAATCCCCTACCTTGGCCTCCTAAGTACAGGAGTTACAGGCAAGAGTTGTTTTTTTGATTGGTTGGTTTTGGTTTTTCTGCATAGCCCTAGCTGGCCTGGAACTCACTCTGTAGACCAGGCAGGTCGCAAACTCACAGAGATCCACTTGTCTCTGCCTTCCGAGTGCTGGGATTAAAGGGATGCACCAGCCACTGCCTGACAACAGACAAGGTTCCTAAGGGCCCAGAACTTGGGAAGCGACTGTAGATAGAGATGTATGTAATTAACAAATCCCCTCTCCAGGGAGTGAATCTCTACATTAAGAACTTGGATGACACCATTGATGATGAGAAGTTAAGGAAAGAGTTTTCTCCCTTTGGATCAATCACCAGTGCAAAGGTGATGTTAGACGACGGAAGAAGCAAAGGGTTTGGCTTTGTCTGTTTCTCCTCTCCTGAAGAGGCGACCAAAGCTGTCACTGAGATGAACGGACACATTGTGGGTTCTAAGCCACTGTACGTCTCCCTGGCCCAGAGGAAGGAAGAGCGGAAGGCTCACCTGACTAACCAGTACATGCAGCGTGTAGCTGGGATGCGGGCACTCCCTGCCAACGCCATCTTAAATCAGTTCCAGCCCGCAGCCGGTGGCTACTTTGTGCCTGCAGTTCCTCAGGCTCAGGGAAGACCACCATATTACACGCCTAACCAGTTAGCACAGATGAGGCCTAATCCACGCTGGCAGCAAGGCGGGAGACCTCAAGGCTTCCAAGGAATGCCAAGTGCTCTGCGGCAGTCTGGGCCTCGGCCAGCTCTTCGACATCTGGCTCCAACTGGCGTCCCTACAGCTGTGCCAAACCTTGCTCCTCGTGCTGCAGTTGCTGCTGCTGCTCCCAGGGCTGTGGCCCCCTACAAGTATGCCTCCAGCGTCCGTAGCCCTCACCCCGCCATTCAGCCGCTGCAGGCCCCCCAGCCTGCAGTCCATGTCCAGGGTCAGGAGCCCCTGACTGCCTCCATGCTGGCTGCAGCGCCTCCCCAGGAACAGAAGCAGATGCTAGGAGAGCGTCTGTTCCCACTTATCCAAACAATGCATTCAAATCTGGCTGGAAAGATTACAGGAATGCTGCTGGAGATAGACAACTCTGAGCTGCTGCACATGCTAGAGTCCCCCGAGTCCCTCCGTTCCAAGGTGGATGAAGCTGTGGCAGTCCTTCAGGCTCATCATGCCAAGAAAGAAGCTGCCCAGAAGGTGGGCACTGTTGCTGCTGCTACCTCTTAGACAAGAAAAAAGAGTCAAAAGCCAAATAACCCCTCATGGCATCCAGCTAAGGTCTGAAGACTTCCTAGTTTGTCTGTGGACCTCCACACCAAGAACCAAGTTGCAAATTCAATAGGTCATTTTGTATCAAAAGGTCAATTATGAAGCACCTAGAATTTTTCAATTAAAAGAATATGTTCTCTGGGTTCTGTTGTGGCCCAGATGATGGTAACTTTTTTTTTTCTATTGTGGGTTCTGGTTTTTTTTCCCCATCCAGAAATTGGTTTTGATGTATCCAAGACTTAAGTTTCTCAATAAAGGAAATAAAATCTATAAATCTGGCTTTTGTATTTGTGTTGCCAGTTTCATTCTGTAATCTTTGGCTTTTGCTAGAACTACTGTTGGGCTCTGAATATATTAAAAGAATTTACTTTATTTATTTATTTATTTTTGAGAATTGGGTTAGCAAGCATCCAATAATTTAAATGTGGCTTGGCATGTACCAAGCCCTGGGCTCAAGGCCAACACCTGTGATCCCGGCTGGAGTCAGAATGATCAGGAATTACAGGACAGTGATAGCCAGTGAGTTTGAAGCCAACTCAGCCCAACCATGAAAAAGTGGACTGTGAACTGAGCTGTCAGAATGCTCTTGAATGTAGAATGCTAAAACCAGGAAAGTCTAGGCCCTGCAAACCCTAGGGACAGGGTAGGATTTGCTAGCCCTTTATCTGAAGCCTCTACCCTCTTCCCTGAGTAAAAAAAAAAAAAAACCAAAACCTTATCTCCTGCAGTTACTTCACCCTGCTCACGTCAGCAAGTGCAATTGCCCAGTTTCTGAAGCAAGATTTCTTCAGCTCAGGAGTCCTGTGATGTCAGAACCCAAGTGCTGGCCATGGTCAGCTGCCTTCTGTCTGTATGTGGATACTCAATGGGTCCAAAGACTAAGAGCTGGAGTTAGGCAGTTGAGGATTCTGACTCTGGTCCTCTGGAAGAACATTCTGCTCTTAAAGTCTGAGGCTAGAGTTGAGTTTCTAGCCTAGTCTTAATATTTCTGGACACATCGACTTTTTTTGTTTTTTTGAGACAGGGTTTCTCTATGTAGCTCTGGCTGTCCTGGAACTCACTCTGTAGACCAGGCTGGCCTCGAACTCAGAAATCCGCCTGCCTCTGCCTCCCAAGTGCTGGGATTAAAGGTGTGTGCCACCACTGCCCAGCTGACACATCCGACTCTTAAAATCATCTTAACTCCAGGGGATCTGAGACCTGCCTTCCTTGGGCACCTTCACTTGTACACATATACAGAGCTACAGTTATATCTTAAAGGCTTAAAAGTTGCTAGAGAAAATCACCTGACCTTTGACCTGGCTGTCACTCAGACACTGCACACATAAGTGATGGAAAAGTTAGACTACAAGTGGATATCGGAGAAAGGCAGGGATGTGATAGGTGGGTGCTTTATAAAGGTTGTCGGGTTTGGTTGTACTCCTGGAAAGCAGGTTTCAATGAGCAGAAAGGTGCTGCCTCCAGACCCCAGCTCTGCAGTTCAGGGGTGCTTGTCACTGACTCCGGTAAGTTTAGGACTGACATCTCTTCAGGCTGTGTAGTAGGCCTCTGACTACTGAGCTTCCCCAGAGAACACTTGAATATTCTGGGCCAGTGTTTCCTCTTGTCTCTGATCAGCATTGTCTTCTTGTTATGCCATGCTGACATTGAACTCTTAGAAACTCTTAGAGTTTCCTTCCTGTACATATGTGTAATCAGGCTTTTGTATACACATATGTATATACATACCTGAACATAAAGGAGATAAGATTCTTTTTCACTCAGCACTAGTTGAGAGGAAACAGGTCATTATGCCCCATTATACTCCTAAATTCTTAATTTTTTAAGTTTAATTTTGAAATTTTATTGTTACTTTCACTGAGTCACCCTGGCGGGCTTCTAACTCACTGGCTCTTCCTGAGTTCTAGGCAAAGGTGTGGGCAATAAAGCCCGATTTTAGTATATACTTGTGATCCATAGACCAGCCTGACCTGGAAGACACTGCCTCCTGAGTGCTGGGATTAAAGGTGTATGACCCCACCCATCTTACTTATTTGGGTGTGTGTGTTTTTAAAGATTTATTTTATGTATACTGTACATAAAATACACTGTAGCTGTCTTCAGACACACACCAGAAGAGGGCATCAGATCCCATTAGAGATGGTTGTGAGCCACCATGTGGTTGCTGGGAATTGAACTCAGGACCTCTGGAAGAGCAGTTAGTGCTCTTAACCACTGAGCCAGCTCTCCAGCTCTATTTTTGGATTTTCAAGACAGGATTTCACAGATTCCGAGTGCTGAGATTAAAGGTATGTGCTACCACTGGACTGCCTTTTTTTTTTTTTTAAATAGATGAATAAAGACTACCTTGCATCTGCTAGTAAAACCAGGCTAGAGAGCTGGCTCAGTGGTTAGGAGCACTGGTTGTACTTGAGGACCTGGATTTGATTCCCAGCAGCCACATGGTAGCTCACACATTCTGTAATTTCACTTGTAGGGTAGCTAATAGCCTCTGACCTCTGTGGGCACCAGTAACACACGTGGTATGCAGACATACATGCAGGCAAAACACCTGTCACACACTTTAAAGTTCTAAAGGTTGAAAACCATGCCAGGAATTCTGCATGAAATTTCTTCTGCCTCTAATTCCCTCCAGCTCAGTGGTAGGTCTGCCTCTTTTAACTATGCTTTTCATCCATCACTGGAACAAAGTCTGAGACAGGAGCAACCCTGGGGAGGAAGGGGTCTCTGTTTCTCACTGCAGAGAAGGCATGTTCATGGGGCAGAACCAGGGGACAGGCATCACCTTCAAAGGCCACCCCTAGTGACTCAGTATGACAGAATCCTCATGCCCTAAAGATTTCCCCACCTCTCAAAACAGTGCCATTAGTTGAGGTGTCTTAATCATGCAAACCTCAATAATCAATCCTAGAAAATCCTTAGATTTTGTTTTGTTCTTCTCAGGTATTCGAACTTTTCTTCTTTTATGTAGCAGCTTCTGGAATTCAGTCAACATCAGGTCTTGGCTTCCTTACCTTTTCCTAGTCCATGTGGTAACTGACCATCATTGGTTCAGTCAGGACCCTGTGCATGGCCTTGTAGGCAGTGTCTGTTATAATAACACACATTGAGAGGTCTGATGTGTTAGCCAGAACTCTTCCCCTGAGAAGCTCCCTATACAGAATAGGATTCTAGCAGTGAGTTTATCACCCAGTGAGTTTATCAGGGTTCCTTACAGAGCATAGGTGTTGGATGACTGACAGGAGGTATCCTCAGACAGCTGTAATGAGAACATAGCAAGAATTGATGGTTTCTCCACAGCCATAAAGGTGGAGCACCCCCCCCATAACTTTCCCCAACTTGTATACTCTAGGACTTCCTGAGACCCTGAATCCACAAGCCACATGCAATTAGGGCAGAATTGCATACAAATGGTGTGTGTGTGTGTGTGTGTGTGTGTGTGTGAATCTCAGTGAAGGTGCCCTTGCAATGAATGACCTCCCAAGTCCCCTCTAGATTGAAGGTGATTAATTCTTGTAGCTGATCTGATAAACCACATGGAGGTCATAACACATCCTACAACAGTCTTTAGGGTAAATTCCTAGAATTAGAATTACTGGATCAACTGTAAAGACATAGGCTGTATTACTGTAAAGACATAGGCTGTAGTGGTGCATGCTTTTAACTGCAGCACTCTAGAGGCAGAGGCAGGTGGATCTCTGATTTTGAGACCAGCTTGGTCTACATAGTGAGTTCCAAGACAAGCCAGAGATACATAGAACCTGTCTCAAACAAAAAGATTTGTTTTTTATTATCTGTGCTGTGTGTATACACGTCAGTGAGTATGGGTGGCCGAGGAGGCCAGAAGAGGGTATCCAAGCTCTGGAGCTAGAGTTACATGCAGTTGCTTTATTTTGTTTTTGGTACTCACTGTGTAGATTAATTGGTCTCAAACTAACAGGAATCCTCCTGCCTCAGCCTCTCAAGTATTTTAGGTATATGTGATGGTTTGAACAGGTTTGATCCCCAAATACTCATGTGTTTGAATGCCCATGGGGAGTGGCACTATTAGGAGCTATGGCCTTGTTGGAATACATGTGGTCTTGTTGGAGGAAGTGTGTCACTGTGGGGGAGGGCTTTGAAGTCTCCTATGCTCAAGCTCTGCCCAGTGTAGAGTCCAGTTTCCTCCTTTCTGTCTTTGGATCAAGATGTAGAACTCTTGTTTCCTACAGCACCGTGTCTGCCTGCACACTGCCATGCTTCCAGCCATGATGACAATGGACTAAGCCTCTGAAACTGTAAGGAAGCCCCAATTAAATGTCTTCCTTTATATGAGTTGCCTTGGTCATGGTGTCTCTTCACAACAATAAAACTACCTAAGCCAGTATGCCACCACCATCTTTCAAATTAAAATTTTATTTTATTTAATAGTATGTGTGTGTTTGTGGAAGCAAGTGAGTGCAGGTGCCTCCACAAGTCAGTGGTATCTGATCCCAGTGGTGCTGGGATTACAGGTGGCTTTGAGTCATCTGATATGGGTGCTGAGAATCAAACTCAATCCTCAGGAAGAGCATTATGTGTTCTTACCTGCTGAGCCGTCTCTCCAGCCCCTTCCCAACAGTTTCCCACATGTTGGAGCTGGGCACTGAAGCAACCAGGCATGTTGTATACACAGATGCACCACCAATCAGCCAACTGTTTAATCCTAGATCCTGCATGTCTTTGGGTATTAAGTGTTGTGTGATATCTGAGGCACACAGACATTTCTCTTGGTTTATCGGGTTGTGGTTTTTATTATTTTACTTTGTTTATAATGTATTTTTGCTGTGTAAAGACTTGTTTTTAGGGGCTAGAGAGATGGCTCAGAGGTCAAGAGCACTGGCTGCTCTTCCAGAGGTCCTGAGTTCAATTCCCAGCAACCACATGGTGGCTCACAACCATCTGTAATGGGATCTGATGCCCTCTTCTGGTCTGTCTGAAGACAGCGACAGTGTACTAATATACATAAAATAAATAAAATCTTTAAAAAATACTAAAACTTGTCTTTACTGTAATAAAACTTTTTTTTTGTTTGGTTGTTTTGAGATAGGGTTTCTCTTTGTAGCCTGGCTGTCCCAGAAATTACTCTGTAGATCAGGCTGGCCTCAAACTCTGCCTCTGCCTCCCAAGTACTAAGATTAAAGTTGTGAGCCACCACCAGCTTGTAATTAAATTTTGTTATCATTTTTTAAAGATCAAGATCTCACTGTGTATCCCTAGATGTAGACTAGGCTGGCCTTGAACTCACAGAGATCTCCCTG